AAGAACCTCACTTCTTCAGATGCAAGTGACTTGCATCTGAAGAAGTGAGGTTCTTACCCACGAAAGCTTATGCTCCCAGTACTTCTGTTAGTCTCAAAGGTGCCACAGGACCCTCTGTTGCTCCTAACTCAATATCTATTTTTGATGAGTTTACAAGTTTGGTTGATAAAGGTAATAGTGCTCACATCATATACTTCAACTTCTATATGGTGTATGACATTTTAATTAAAAAACTAGAACAATATAAAATTAAGTGACACATTAAATGGATTAAAAACTGGCTTACTGATAGGTCTCAAAATGTAACTGCAAATGGGGAATCATTATTGAATGGGTCTGTTTCCAGTGGGATCCCACAGGGATCAGTTCTTGGTCCTATGCTATTTAACTTCTTTATCAAGGATCTGGAAGAAAACATAAAATCATCACTGATTTGGGAAGCACAGGCACGGGTACAGGTTCCCATTGCGTCTTTGAAGTTGGAGCTGGAGCACCTATGAGATGTGTCTCATCTCTTCTGTCCCCACCTGTGTAAGTGTGTCCATGTAGATACTACATGCTGTGTGTGTGTTACTTTCTCCATCCTACATCCCCTTTGTATGATGGCATTGTTAGGACTAGCTCAGTGGTTTGAGCATTGGTGTGCTAAACCCTGGGGTTGTGAGCTCAATCCTTGAGGGGGCTGTTTAGGGGTCTGGGGATTAGTCCTGCTTTGAGCAGGGGGTTGTTTAGGGGTCTGGGGATTAGTCCTGCTTTGAGCAGGGGGTTGGACTAGATACCTCCTGAGGTCCCTTCCAATCCTGATATCTTATGATTCTATGACTGGCTGTTGTGGCACCCCTGCCTGGAATCTCACAAGACAGAATTTGAAGCCAGCAGAGTGTTTCACAAACTGATCTGTACAGGTGTCTCCGGTCATTGGAGGGTTACTGAAAGTGAAATGTTCGGGTTTTAAAACCATACGAACAAAACTGGTGACCAAATTTGAGGGGCTTTTGTGGCAAAAATGTTCACTCATTTCCAGCATTCCCCCCTCCCAGTGGTGAATGTGACTGTAGTAGACAGTGTGTGTTAAAAATGTACGACATCACTTGCAGAAATTGAGTTAATCTTTCTTGGAAAAATCTCTCCAGGAAGGAAATGTAGAATGTTACTGGCTTCTACTTGCATTGCGTTATAGCAGAGGCCCCAAATGAAAGGATTTCTGCCCCTGTGACCAATCCTGAGGAATAAGCATCTTAACGTTGGGGTGTGATTAATGGTGGGAACCTGCGTTGAGTCTCCTTGCATGGGGCTGCAAGAGTTCAACAGAGAAAAGGGCCTTTTTTAGGGAATGTTGCCATGAGCTTTGGAGACTTAGGGGTTACAGCAGCCCTGACTCAAATAAGGGGGGAGGGACAGCTCAGTGGTTTGAGCACTGGCCTGCTTAAACCCAGGGTTGTGAGTTCAATCCTTGCAGGGACCATTTAGGGATCTGGGGCAAAAATCAATACTTGGTCCTGCTAGTGAAGGCAGGGGGCTGGACTCAATGACCTTTTGGTCCCTTCCAGTTCTAGGAGATGGGATATCTCCATATATTTATTTATTTATATTTAAGCCCACAACTCCACGCAGGAGCCAGGCGCTGAGAAAACACCAACCTACACCTTACACTGGAACGGCTTTCCCAGCTGGCAATGCCAGATCCACAATAGGTGTCGTCACACCTCAGCCACCAGCCCAGCGAGCCAGCTGTGTCCCTGGCACTGTCTGGTAGGTGCAGAGTCAGGAGCCGCTTTGGCTGCAGGAGGAGGAGAGCTGGCGCAGTGCTTGGGCTGTGGTTTAGAGCCCAGTGCCCTGCCCTTCCCAGAGAGCCAGAGCACATCTGCTCAGTGAAAGGCAGTCACTGCTCCACTCAGTGCCCCCAAACCCATCCCTCTCATCCCCATCCCCACTGCTCAGCCTTTGTTCTCGCCCCCTTACCCCCCACAGGCTGTTTTGCTCCCACATGCCTCACTCCCACTTTCCTTTTTTAAACGGGTTAATCTCTAGCCCTCATGACTGTGGAGAAAAGCTTGAAACAGTGACCCCTAGAGGCTCTAAAGCCAGACGTCCTCCCGCCGCCCCACAAACCCCTCCCCTAAATTGCATTTTTTAAATCTCATGATTTTTAAGCCATCTCATTATGTTTAGTGCCTGACTCACGAACATTTGGGATTGGCAATACTAAAACCTAACGTGCCATATGGTGGGGGATGGACCTCTTGTAATCATGCCTGGGTCCTTCCATGAAAGCAGACTTGGTCCAACTGGGATTGTTCCCCATTTTGTCTGCCATTCTCAAGGCCCTTCTCATGGGACAGTGTTTCTCAACCTTTGCAGGGTAGCAACCTCTTGTTCAAAGTCAAAATTTTTCACGACCCCCTTATATTTATTATTCAAGTAAGAGTAAACCATGCCTCAGTGATAAGGACAAGCCAATTCAATGGATTTGTGTGTTTCGGGCAGTTGATGGGGAATACTGGACCTTGAAAGGGAAGGATGTGCAGGGGAGTGGGGGAGCCAGATTCTCCTTGCTTTTGATTATAAGAATATTTTCAGTGTTTTATGGCCTCCTGATGAGAAACATTTTCCTGGGGTTCCGAGGGTCGAGGCTTTACCTGCTCCCTTTGTCTTGTTCACGTGCCAGCTCTCTGTGTGATCTGTAGAGGGGAATCTACTGGAGAAGTTTGTTCAAATTTCACATTTGCCACATACAGCAGAAAATTCCCGCTCTTTCGTGTGTCTACACTGTAATTAGAAACCCATGGCTGGCCTATGCCAGACTTGGGCTAAGGGGCTCAGGGTAAGGGTCTGTTTAATTGTTGGGGCTTGGACTGGAGCCTGGGCTCTGGGGCCCTGCAAGGTGGGAAGGTCCCAGAGCTGGATCTGGAGCCCAACGTGAGCCCAAACGTGTACATCACAAGTAAACAGCCCCTTAGCCCGAGCCCCGCGAGACTGAGACGCCCAACCACGGGTGTCTAATTGCAGCAGAGACATACGCTCAGGAAGGATCCCGTCTGATTAATATTGGAGCTCTTTTCCTGTTCATGTTGAAAGTCCTGGCTGGTTCATCCCCATGGCCTCAAGGCAACCTGATTTGCTCAGTGGCCTTTTTTTTTTTTTTAAAGCCATTGAAATGACAACATCAGTGTTGGGTGCATCCCTGTTTCAAGGGAGACCAAGGGCTCTGGGAGAAAATAGGTCACATGGTCTTTGTCCCATGTCACGTGATTCCCATCCTGAGGCCAATGAGGTTTAGAACCCTCTGTGCTTTAGAACAAAATATCACTGTAATTTTTTTCTCTTAGCATTTTTCATCTTTTCCAAACGTGAAAAGGGCGACCATCTGTCTGAAACCCGCATCAAACCAAATCATTTCTAAAGCAGCTGTTCTTCGGAGGTAAGAAGATTTAAAAGATCGTATTGGTGGAAAACCACTGCTGTTAAATAACTTCTCCTACAAATAAAAATTAGTCAGAAGCATGAAATATAAAGGTAGTTTTCTATACCAAATGGGATAAAAGAACTTTGAAGTCTTTTAAAAGAGGCTTCTTAAGTGAACCTCTTAAGAAGGTTTCTTTAGACATATTTAAAAATCTATGATAAGACAGCCATGGTAGTATAGATTTAGAAATGGTTACAGTTTTAAAGAGAACAAAATGAATAGAAAGTCAACGACTTGAACAATTTACATATCTTAATAGCTATTCTTTTACTCTTTTTTATAACCAAGTGGGATAGTGAAAATAGTAATTGTTTTTACCTTGGTATGATGTAGAATTTATTTCCATAACCTACTGTTTTAGCAAATATTTTGATATAATAAAGATAATGTAATAGGGTATTAATATGACCCGTCCCAAGTATTAAATTAGAAAAGGCTAAATATGCCTATTAGGTATAATTTACAGTACATCCTTCGTATATTGTCGATAATATGCACCTATGGAGCACAAATAGTATGAAAACAGAACCGGCAATATTAATGTATTGCATCTGGAAATGGTAAAAAGGAAATGATTAATTTTGGTATGACAAGATAATAAAAATTAAAACATATAAGAGACTTTTATCGCTTGTGAATTAAAAACCTTTGGTTCATCATTCTGAAATGCATGCATACAATTGTCTGATATTTACCATCTTTATGTCAGTGTCTGTAATTCCTTTCAAACAATGAAGGAATATATTTAACTAGATTTTGGAAAAAGAATGCATTTTATTGATAGTATTCTCTTTTCCTTAAAGTTAAAGTATGTCACGAAAGGGTCTTTTGCTTTAAGATTAAGTTGTACATTAGATAAATTGTTTCTGATTCCAACATGTTCCTATTATATATTCTTATAACAAGTTAAGTTTAAGTCTAATGTTAAAATTTCAGAAAGTCAAATATTTATTTTTTAAATAGTGTTGCATAGGTCAGTTGTTCAGAAATCCTAAAATATCACCCTTGAATTCCAGAGATCTTTAGACAATTGCTTGCAGAAATATTTTTTCTATACTTCAAATCTTCTACAGTATGTCATTTAATTTTAACTTGACTGGACTATAATACAATTTTCTGTCACTCAAAAGTCATGTGAAAATAACTCAGAAACAATGACTCTTCAGCACTGCAACTAAGATACAATGAAGGTCAATGATTTTATAGACAGATATCTCAAAGATGGACATTTTCCTGCATTTCCAAATTGAAAAATCCTGAAAAGTTGTAACTTTAGGGAAATATTTTGTGTTATATTTATGACTACACAATTTCAATGTTGTGCAGTAATTATTTTTTAAAAAGTCCCGAATCTCAGATTTTTCCCTGTTTTGAATTTTCTTTTTCTGAACATTTTTAAATGTTCTTTGATTTAAAACTAGTTTTTTATTTCTTTGTCCTGAATGTTATGATAAATGTTTTCCTACTCTGGTAAAATATTTTAAAATATTAGTTTCATTGTGGCCTCCTTTCATCAAAATAAAAAGAAAAAATCCTTTAAAATGGATTGAAGACTGTTTAAAAAGTTTGTATTTGTGGTGGGTGTGTAAATTCCCTCATTCCCCCATATTTCTGTACCAACAGACTAATTTTGAAGCACAAACTGTCACAAATTACGAGCACAATATAACTCATGATACGGAATGCACATTAACAAAGTGTATTTTGAAATACTGGAAGCTGAGTTTACTGATGGAAGGTTAAAAGACCTATATGTCAGTGCAAAAAGACACAATATTTCTTAAATTGTAAAATGTTTCCTAAGTTAAAACAAGGACTGCTGTGTTATCAGTGGTAGTTTATGTGTCTCCTGGTGGAAAAATTAAACTGTAGCTCTTTCTAGAGTGATGTGATCTTTGGTTTTGAGTTTAAAAATATGGCATCCCATTTTTCTAGAAATAAAAATGCATCAGAATGAGATGGTGTTTGTCTTCTGCTAGAAAAATATAGCGCCCTACTGCCCCGGACGATTCACATCTCCCAAATCGTGAGAATTGTTTGCTGAAATAACATGAAATGTTGACAACCCATTAATTGCTAGAATGGAGTATGCATTGCTTTCTCACTGCTGTTCTAGCTATTAGATCTTTCCATTTTCCATGACCCATATGCCAAAGTTTATTACTTCATAAATGGAGCAATATGTGATGAACCAAAATGTATATTCTTTTCTGGATTATGAATTTAAAGCCATTCACATTTGTTGGGTATAGAATGTCATTAGTGGATGAGGTTTTTTGTGTTGCTTTTGCTGTGGAGAGTGCAGAAGGATGTTTTGCATGCATAAGCTGTTGATTCTGCTAATGTGTTTTACTGTCCAGTTCCTTAACAGTTAACAGCACAACGGATTATTTCTCAACAAAATATTTAGGATTGTGCCTACTGGCTAAATGGATATGTTGTCGCACCAACATTGAGGGTGAAAAGGGAATAAGGATCTGCTGAAGGAACATAGCATATCTTGGAGGTGTGCGTGCGTACGTGCGATCAGTTTACAATGGCATGTTGCAGCATGAATGACTTGAATTTACAAATTACCGCCTATACTCCTTTTAAAAGCTGAAAAGGAAAAATAGTTTGATTGAATTAATTTCAGCATCCCAATATGAAAGCTGTGTCTGTTTGGGGCTCCTACCAGGAATGTCACATCCCTTATTTCCTTCTGTCCTGCCTTTACCATAATATATAGAGAGAGGGTTATGTGCATAATTGATTTTTTGGTTCATAGGCAATTAAAAAATAATTTCACGTCAAACTGAAGACTATTTTTTTAAAATTATTGGTGAATCAAAAAGTAGGAAAAAAAGTTGTGTTTTGATGTTGAGCTTTTTCCCCTTCTAAAACTTAAAAAAAAAAAAAAGGTAATTTCAAAATGAAAAGTTGTGCCAATGGAGCACTGACGTGCTTCGTTTAAAAAATGTCAAAACAAAACATTTCAACTTTTAAGGAGAGTTTTTTGGTTTGTTTTTCAACCAAAACAATTTGCAAAAATCAGCACATATTCGTGAAATGTTTCTGTCTGATTCAAATCTGCCTTTTTCACCGGAAAAAACTTCGGTATAAAAATGTCTCCCAGCTGTCTATATATCCCCTTTCACCACGTTTTCATCTTGTGTGAACAGTTAACACACAGATTCCATTTGTAAATGTCTTAATATTCAGAAAATGGATCATTACACGCAGCACTTATGCATTAGGGACATGCTATCAGATGCACAGCTTCACCTCCTCCCCTCCCTGTTTGGGTCTTTGGGCTGCAGGGCCGAAGGGAGGGAGCAGTCGGTGCAGGGATTGTCTTGTGCACGGCCCTTACACTGCTGGGCTTCCTTCCCCCACACTTGCCTAAGGACCAAGCACTATCTGCGGCCCTGATCCTGCAAACACTTAAACACATCTGCAATTTTACTCACATGAGTAATCCCCTTTCAGCCAGAGGGACTCCTCGCATGAGCAAAGAAATACAAAGGCTGCCGCATTGGCAGCATTGCACCCTTTCTAATTAATAGCCAAGGGCTTGATCCTGAAACCCTTACTCATGCGAGTAACCCACTCACTTTACTTGGCTGATCCTTAATGAATATACAGCATTACTAATTAGCCATCCTGGTAACCTCCCTGCCCAACGGACCATTGCTCTGAGAGGTGAGTAGGTGAGAGTGGCTTTGGCTCCCACTAGATTGGGGTGAAGCTGATTTTGCAAACAGATCAATTAGTCGTTGGTGTATTTTGCCCACTGCTTAGACCCGGGGGTAGACAGGACCCACTACAGGAAAAAGGAAAGAGGAAAACAAAATCTCTTGATTTTAATCTAGGCTGAGATTTAGCTGAAGTGAAAACAGATCTGCAGTGACAGTTTTAGAGCCTGCTGTCAGGGTCTGACTCGAGCGTGCTCGGCGCATGCACCCTCAGCAGCTGAGGGGTGCATAATGATTTCCCAGATACATTGTCCTTGCCAGCAAAATACAGACATGATGGTGTCCCAGTGAGCTACCACTGCTTAGATGGCTCTGCATCGCCCTGCTTTATGACCTTTATCTTAAAAATGCAGTGTGTGCTACCAATTTAGTCTCTGGTATATGCAGTCCTAGCCCTAGGAGTTACTAACAAACCTACGTAAGGGCTGCCTATACCACGGAAGGATCAGATTAATTTGTTGTAGTCAGTGTCCCTTGCATTCTGCTTTTGCCAAAATGCCTAGCCAGGACAAACCGATAGGAAGTGGTGTCCATAGGTGCTGGAACAAGGGGTGTTGAGGGTGCGGCCGCAGCCCCTGACTTGAAGGTGGTTTCCATCATAACCAGGGTTTACAGTTTGGTTCAATGGCTCTCAGCAAGCCCGCTGTCCAAATTGTTCCAGCCCCCCGGTGATATCTCTTTTTAAAATAGGGTTTTCTGCAGTGCAGGCTGCTTAGCTCTATGCTGCAGTGAAGTTTGGGTCAACTGATTTCTCTAAACCCTTATTTTTCCAGCAGCGTTTCATTGCAGATACCTGCTATGTCCTATATCAGCCAGAGGTTCATTTATACAAAGCCAGTTGTGCTGAGTCTTTAACGGTAGGAATGTAGTAAACAGACCCTCACCATTGTATTCTTTTCTGCCGCTCTTCTGCCTATAGCCGGTCAGATTCTCAGCACCAGATCTGTCCTCTCTGCAGTGCCTGAGCAGTGTGAGGAGGATGTAGTCTGGCTGCAGATGGCCAGTTGAGAACTCCCCAGATGGAGGGGAATTATCAACCGGACCTGCCTCCTACACTAACTCTGCCCTCACCCCAGACACAGGGCATGGGTCGGGGGAAAGAAGGGGGCATGCCGGGGTGGAAAGCAGAGCTCTGTACAGCAGTTCTCAGCTGCCATATGGTCCCTCGGGGACTGTAGCTAGCTGCCATAAATTAGAGCAACTTCCAGGCTGCTCTAACTC